GGTATTTGTACGAGTATGTATAATAATTACAATATATTGTTTATTAGAGGGTACAAACTGTAACAAACCCATTGTGACACAACACGTTACTATCACACGCACAAGTAGCTACAAACAATGCCGCATTAGGCACAAAGTTTGTAGAAGCCGTCTATGTGCCTATTTACACGCAAACTGGAAGTAATTGTAAATTGTACACTTAATTTAATTTATCGTTTTATCAGGAATACCTAAAACACAAGTTTAATTCGCTTAAAGCAAAAATATACCTCGCCACAAACTTCTTGATCCAACTGTTAATCAACAATGCGAACCCACGCAGGATGCTTTAACAAAGTTTGCCAACTGCTAAAACCAACCCCACATTAACCACCTAATTTAATTCGAATGTAGCGTAGATCTAAAGGAAAGTTGTATAACCTACTTTTGGATGCACATTACGTAAGGCGGTTTTTTTTCTCTAAAACGAAATTTAAAAATAACTTTCGTCAAGTCAATGTCATTTATTACTGTTAATGTATTTTCATGAAACGTAAATATTTTTCCAAGCTGCTAAATCGAGTTAGGTCGAAAGTAAAACTCTGTGGAAGTATAAGCTCATTATTTTGAGAGAGTGTTCACAACAATTAGTACTTCATCCAATTTATTCCGTTACGCATATGAGACAAGCAAACTTCAGGGGATGGTGAAAAGGAGCTAGTTAATAGATTATAAATTAGAAGTTACTATGGCGTATAAATTATTATTTGGTTATTTTATCACACGATATAATCGTATAAAATGAAAGTTAGACTGCGATTAGTGTTGCTATAGGTACCTATACTCCTAAAGGAGCTGTAAGCAGTCATATCGTCCACAAGGGTCGAAACTAGTACCAAGTTTCACCGTTTAGAGGGGTATGCCTGAGGGCTCGAAAAAACCAGTGGTGTTGATACATGCCAGTACGAATAAGAGTTTTTTGTCAAAACAAAAGATTCATAAGGGCTATAAGAATTTGGCAATTTGGTTGGTTACAAGTAGAGCTAAAACTTGCCGTGGGAACAGGCAAAACCTACGATTGCGATCACCTGGATTCCCGATTCCTAATAGAAACCAGGAGAGAACCTTCAAGAGGTTTGAACCAGCGTGAACAGCAACAATATGGAACGGTGGTTACTGGAACTTACTAGGATTAGAACTGGCGGTGATGGAAGAATGAAACTGTACTCTGCATACCTACAATCCTTCTACCATGGAAAAGGTGATTCAACTGGTGGTACATTGTCACCATCAAACAGACGCATCCAATTCAGCTTTAACAAAACAGGTAAGTTTCCGCTGTAGGGCATCCAGTTCTGTATCCATGGATTTATGATATGCTACCACCTTTAAGATCGTATTTATGGAGTAGGTACGTCTTCAATAATTTTCGATGGCCTTCAATGGTGCAGGTCTGGACGACAGTATGTCCGTGTTAATCAACCAACTATCCTGGCGCTAGCGGTCGCAGTTGAAGCTAATTCTTCTGTTATCTCCGCTGACAAACAGCCGTCGATTGCTGCTTAACTTTACGGCTTTGTGTAGTTCCGACGGAGAGATCCAATTGTGATACCTCGCTTCTAGCTCGTCAATGAGCCCATGAACCAATTGATGCAGGTATCCTCGTGTGCTTATCGATACCACGCTTCAAATTCTCGAATCTGCTCCAGTCCACGGTTCCACTTTTCTGTAAAGTGGTTGAGTTTCCACGTGATTCGGCGCTTTGTATCATTCATCGTTGTTACGGTTTTCAAGATGAGAGATGTTTGTTCTTAGAGGCTTCGATGAGGTGTCTCTGGTTGCCATTCAATTTGCGAATGTCTATGTAGATCCCACCGTTGACTACGAAGATCGATGCTAGAATTCTTCCCAGTACTTCGCTTTGGGCTCAAGCAGCATATTCTTCCTGGATTATCCTTGAATGTTCTTGTAGTTCTTGTACGCTTTGTTCTGATTCCAGGACGTCTCCCACCTCTAAATTGCCAGTCTGGTTACTCCATTTTCTCCTATGTTGTAGGGTATGAAGATAATTCAGTGGACCAAATTTTTCAGAAACCCCCATTCATCTTTTGTAAGAGTTTCCACCTTGAAGTGGAACGAACTTTCCCTGTCAGTTCGGTCTCATCTGGCGGCATCTGAAGCGGTTTTCCGTTGATGAGATGCGACTGAGTATCTCTTGTACGGGACACCATGGTAGCCGATTGAGATATGCCTCAATTTGGCACAATACTGCCGATAATTCCTCAAATATCAACGATATTTCTTTGCGCAGCAAAGCTTCTGCGCCTACGAATGTTGTCGCTATACAGCTCCGCACATGCTCCTCTTCTGACTGTTAATCGACGGAAGGCTTCCTTAGTCATGACTTTGAGGTGTATCGATTTCGTTCCCACCATAAAGGGTTCTTTACATTTAGTGTGGCCAAATGACTCTTGTGTCGACATGCAGTTTGAATTCGTTAATCTACCCCCTACTCTGAATAGTCCCAATGCATCCAGAAAGGGGTTCAGTGTCTTGAGGATATTTTGGCGAGGCAACTCTTTGCCATTTTGAAATAGCTTGATCTCCATTGAGTAATGTTGTCCCATATGTTCTTTGAGCTACCCGTAGTTCTCGTGGCCCTAGAACCCCAGTTGGGTATGTTGTCTTCTTATATTTCGCGACAAATCTTCGGCAGTATGCTATCAGCCTTATGATCTTGTCAAGGAAGGAAAACCTGTTTCTGTATGCTGAGTGCGGTTACCTTTCTTTCTGGGTCTCTGGGAATTCCTCCGCACTTGGTGTTTCTTGGAGCCATCGTGGTCCGTGCCACCACAACTGACTTGTCCAGAACTGATTCATAGTTGTGCCTTGAGCTGGATTATCCTCTGACGTAATATGGTTCTGTCGAGCACGGAGTGTTACCTCGTTCTGACTTTTTCGTGAACTGGAAGTAGCTGAGGTGTCGAACACCAGCCATACGAACAATGATCTGGTGGAGCTTTCCTCTTTTAACACCGCATAGTGGGGGAATATAGTATTTCGCAGGTGCCTCCCCTGCATTTCAAGGTACCATATGCCTCAGCTCTTCATATTCTCGCAGGAAAACCTTGCACCTGCTATCTACGAAAGTCTGGGTGCGTGTGACTCAGGCTGGGTAAGCAAGGTCCTCCAGGTATCGTGGCGAATGGGCGTGCAATGGGCAACTCACTTCAAATGTAACACTTCACGGGACAGGAAATGTTGTGGTAACGCGGCACCAATTCATTGCATCTTTCAAGGCCTTTGTGTAGTATTTACTGGGGGGACTGTAATCCTTGTGGTAACGCGGCACCTATTCGTTGAGGGCTCAAAGGACCAAATGTAGCCTATCTATGTAGCGTTAGGGTTGTAAATCATCCAAGAAAATCTTACACGAGATAAAATTTGGTCGGGGATTATCATACATCTCAAACCAGGTACGTTACCGACAGTTCATCGAAGATGGTTAACTGATAGTATTTATAGTAAGCGTTTACATGCTATTTATATCACAGATATTACTTCCTTAACCTACGTCAATGACGTTAGTATGCAGGAAATGCTGACGCCTCGACCTTGCTTAGCTTGTTTGATTATATTGCCTTTTGGTTCCTAGTAGTCTACATACTTCCGCGTTATAGGTTGCATTTCCTTGGTTTATTCTTGAGTGTTATATTTTCTTAATTTTGGTGGTAATTTTAATCTGTTCTAAATGAACATCTTTGGCCGTTAGCCGGAAAGTAGGTGTGTTTTAATGAACACTTAAAGTTCTTCACATTCTGTTCTTCTTTCGGTTCTTCAATTTCGCGATATCCATAAAATTCATTATATTCATAAAATAAGAAATAAGAATGGTAACGTAGCCCTACATTTTTCTCTTAAGCCTAATTTACATTTGGAAAGTTTACTGGCGGAAAGTACTGTCGGCCAGTAAACTTGCCAAATGTAAATTAGGCTTTAAATAAGGTTTGTGTAACATTATCCATTCCATAATAAAGTAGGCGTAGTGCCGAGTTTTAGACCTAAACGGTTATTGTTTATACCTGCCGACCCGTGTGGCGCAGTGGAGTTCGTCTGAGGTACTAAGGGTTCCTAGTTTGAATCCGGGTTCGGCCTTGGCTGAAACCCCGCCCACTAAAAAAAGGCCAAAAATAAATAAATAAATAAATTACAGTTAAGTTTTCAACAACTATAACTTTGTTCATTTAAATACAAATTTACGATCCTCTGGAAATCCCTATGAGACTGTCTTTATAGCTGGTTTCTAAACCCGTTTTTTGATCTTTGCGTTCAGGAAATTGCTGAGTAGGAGTACCTAGACAATTAAAATTCGTTTTGTCAAAATTACGTGACGAACCACAACACACAGCAATCGCGTATAAATATCGGCTATTGATTTACCATCAGCAACATTTTAAATTGCTCTAAGCTGCAATGCATTATCTAAATGAGAAAAATAAATGAGTTTCCAGTATGCCACACGTTTCACCTCAAATTTTAAAGTCTCCAACGAATCGATGGATGTGGTTACAGATGTAGGAGACATTAAACAGCTTCGCATATATTTCCCTCACATTGACAAAGATAGCTGCTACATACGTCACGAAGTAAATCCTATTTTATAATAATGTCAAAATGGCAAAGCTTATTATAATTTATGGAAATGTTCGTTCAATTGCAGGTAGCTAAATCAATATTTTCGCAAAAACGCCATAATATTGAAACCGCAATTTTGAAATTGAAGCGCGCCTAGGGTTCATTGTTACGAAATAAAACATTGACAACGAGTAGGTAACCTAATTTATTTCAGTAATTAAGCGGGAGTTACAGCAATACTATTTTGTGTTTAATTAATATTCTCATATCTTATTCTACGTAGATTTTCATTGTATAATTAACGAGACGGAAATGACCGCAAGTTGCCATTTAACCCTTGTAACCCTAAAGGAAATAATGTAGGGAAAATGGTTCAAAATATATACCTGACACTGTTGAGGACCTTGTCTATTAGGTGAAGCAGCCTTAGGCCGTGGTCGTTTCACTGCTAATTTTACTACTTCACTTGACGATCCTACGGGGGGTTTCTTATCTTCCGTTGTCGTTGTCACTGCAAAGATAAAAGCAGGTTTAGAATGCAATTTCCCAAAAGTGAAATCAGGTTTAAATCGGACATGAAATTCAAATTTGCGACACGTTACATATTTAGGGGTATAAGCGGCTGATATTCCACGCGATGGACATGAAATTTTACAAAAAGTACAACTCATTATTGTACGCGATGTAGTGCAGTTGAAATTCTGGATTTGGCGAAACATGATAATTATTTTATAGGTCATGTTTGCAACGTGAAATGAATTTTACACTTCCCTGCATGTATACGTGACAAAATTCAAATGTCAATTTCAGCGGTTTCATACGTTTTACTCTACAATTGAAAAGGGGGATGAGTACACCAATTTTTAATGCAGCTACCGAATGCAGATCTTTATTGTATTGCCGGTATAGGTACGTACATCAGTTTTTTTTAACGAGACCCCATTAGCATCAGTCCGCTTTTAAAAATGCAATTGAAGTAATTAGCAAGAGAAAAAAATAGGTAGGTCTCGGAAAATTTTCTTTTATTTCCCTTCAGCGTGGATGTAGCTTTACTCTTACAATAATTCGAGATGTTCTAATTCAAGGGATTCAGGCAGTTACAACGTAAGTGCACTTTCTAACATTGCCTTTGGTCGTGTAATCCTTCTACTCGTGATGTAACTCACTCTTAAACTTTTGTGGAAATTCTAGTATTTAGAATGCCATGTTGAAAGATTTATTTTGCCAAAGTTTCAACGTACAGAGTGAAGTGTGTGTTTGGTTTATTTCCGATATTCTTTAATTTATGACGTGCACTGCGGCCTGATTTATTGGATGCATACAAATTCAATTCCGTAATGCTACGAGTTTTTTTGATTCACATTTCAGTAGTTATTCATGTCGCCTCTGTTACCGTAGATAATAAATATATATTCATTTCTGCAAATATAATTACTTTGTATATACTTCAGAAACGCCAGCTTGAAAATTGATGAGTAGGTAAGTACATGAACATTGTTTACATCCACGAAACATGTTAGACTCAATATTCCTTAACGACAACCGCGACGATTAAATTACATTTGAACATGAACATGAATTTCTAGAGCTAGCGCCGGTAAGTGCTTTGTTACCGCTAGCATCCCTATGGCATCCCATCGTTTCCAAAAGCAAGCGCTGTGTTCATCAGACCTAGCTCCATAAACCCCCCAATAGTGTGGGGGGCAATTTCTTCTAGTGCCACCATCTTGTTTTTTTTAATACAGTTTTAGCGCTTGTGTTCTGCTTACCACAGACGCTTTGTCTCATCGATATTACTGCTCTATAATTCTCTAGCTTTAATTATTTTTTAAAACAGTGTATGTACTTCGTTTGTAATTGTTTTGACATGTATTCGTATTTGTTTTGAAGCGTTACACTTGTTTTATTATTATTGTTTTACACCATGTAGTGTTAATTGATTAAAACTATGTAAGTGTACATATCTGATTTTTAGTGATTGTTTCATTTTTTAAAATCATCTACGTTTCATTCATCGTTGCTATTGTTTTAGACCTTCTAATAACGACATCATCAAAGATATTATGTATTTTTCAGTTTTTGTCTCTCTTGTGTTTTAAATCTTTAACGTTTGTTTCATCGTTTTTATTGCTTTGTACCTTCTAATGATGGTACTATACATTGTGTTCTAAGTAAAAGTCCGTACTACTAACCTTATTACCGAACTTCTCAGGATTGACAGGACAAGCCACAAAAGCGTCTGGATAAAATACACTATCCTTTTTTAAATGGAACACCCTATATATTCTTACGTATTTTGAAAGAAAATGCTGGATTTAAAAAAACAACCGTCAATGCATAACTACCTCAAGTAATTAATAATAGGGCTACAAATTTTAAATTAATACTTGGGAGTAGGGAAATGAGTTATAAAAACCAAAAAAACGAGAGAAATACAATCAACAGAAGTGGTTTATTTAAATAAGAGCCTTTATACCGATTGAAAGCAACATGTCGGTCATTACTGTTATGTTTTTTATTTTAGTTAGTTTGCCCTTGTTCCAAATTTTTATTGCAATTATACAGGGTGAAAATGTTGTCTAGAGCACTAGATATATTTTCAAAACACGATTTATAAAAAAACTTTATAAAGTCCAAAATTATAATAAGTTATCTAGTACTTTACGTATACCTACTTTAAATTTGTGGTCAGTGGCGTACTTCTGTATAGTATGTTTACGTTACCTACTCTTAAAGAGCACACTTTTTTGAATATAGCAACATAAAAAACATATTATATTACATAATCAAATTTATGAGACTCAAATTAAGGAAAATGGTTATGTTAATTAATTTTATAATTTTACTAATTTGTGTCGACACAAAGTGTTATTCAATTATGTCAGCAATTTATTGTATCAAAAATCATTAAAAATAAAATTATTAAAATTTTTTTACAGTGGCATGCGTCCACCAATCTAAGAGGATCGCCTTTTAATAGAAATAATTGTTTTTCATGAGGTACTATTAAATAATGAACCTTTCCATGGGCATTCCATATACGTGGCGTTCAAACTTTGTTCGAGACTTTCCAGGAAATAAATTTGAAGCCAATTTCATAACCTCGTGAGGTGTCCCCACAGCCACGAGTTCATTATTTTCTTAACATATAAATTAGATAACCTAAAAATACTAGCGATAAATGGTTGTCAGGATAACTAACAAAAGCTAGGCTCTTCGTGTTTTATTTTCAAAGAGCGCGCTATTTTGGAGTCAGGAAAATGACACGTGACTGGCGAGGAAACACTGAAGTACGAGGCTCCTGTGGAGCCAAGTACTTTAAAGTCTGAGTCAAGTAGTGTCATTTTACTGACGAGTTTTTTTTAACCGAAATCCTATTTTAATTTTCATATAGAACATTATACACACGCGGACGAAAAGTAGCGACGATTTTTTGGGTAAAAAAAAGATATGGATAGTTCAAAGTAAACTATTTACTGTAAAATGGAGAGGCCTTCTTAAAATGTTTGACATTTTTTAATTGTTCCTTCAATATCTGTACATTTATATGACCGTTTAGTATTCTTTTGCTGGAAAATGGACAAGAGATAGAAATGTTATAGCCTATTTTCAGATTAAAAAAGGAAAACAAATAAAGCTAGCCAACGGCATACGATAATTAATTTTAATTTTATTGCAATACAGAATTTCTCATTAAACGAAGGGAAATTTGCTAGCGTTAAAATGGTATTTGCCGACAGTAAAGGCCTTTATTACAAAATCTATAACAAGGCTAGCTAAATTCAACGCGGCACCAGCTGGCTCCCGTCAGGTCAAATAACAATAGCAAAAACTAACAATATCTTCACTTTGTGAGTACTCTGTTCCGACATTTTCTCCAAAATACATCATGTCTCCGGTACTATAGTGTTCCGATAAGGTCGCATGTGGTACCGTAGGATGCGTTTCAAGGAGAGCGATCATATTCCCTTTGTGAGCGACTTCTGACACACTTTCATTTCCTTCCCTGATGTGCCTACCCCCTACAAAAAATAACACATCCTGCAATCAGATCTAACATTAATTGTAATTTTCTTTAGAAATGTTTCACGGCGTGCAAACATGGATTATGATGGAGTATTCTTCTTTCTTTCTTGCTTTTGACATTAAGGAACGGAAACAAAATTGGTGGGGGGGGGGGGGAGGGGAGTGTTTTAAATAGAGGGCTGGTCAGTCTATTGAGTTATAAGGTAGTAGCATGCTATATTTAGTGATATTTAGTTTCTTGATAGATAATTAATTAGAAGGGGGTTCTTTACACGTAAATATTTAAAGGCCGCCTGGCAAAATCTACGCTATACAGGGCGTTTCGAAATTCGCGCACACGGACTGTGGGATGGTGTTATACAACGAAAACTGAATAAAAAGTTCCTCTACCGCTTGAGCAAACTCGTCGTGTTGTCGAAGAGAATTCAGTACGTGCTGGGTATAGCAGTTCATTGAAGTAGTCGTTTACGTAATTCGGTCAGCAATTCAAGTCATCGATTGTATGTATTTTGGTGTCCGGCCAGGTACCACAATCAAGGTCTATACAACCTGTTTAGGGAAGTGGAAATAAGAAGACCAAGTTTTTTGTGTGTCAAATTCATTTAAGTGCATTATTGTGTCCTGATCGTATTGGCTTTTTGATCTTTGTTTATTCGGACGATGTTGTTCGAGTTTGTTAATTAAGATTTCATGTTTAATTTCAATTGTGGTCGTAGAATAAATTTTATTATTGTAATATCATGCAAGTCGTGTGTTTATTCGATCCCTTGAATGACGAAGAGAGATATCTAATGTTCAATTACGTTTAATTTTGTTTATCCGCGCCCAAAGTTCAGTTAGTGGATGACCTGTATTGGAAAATGGTGATCTACTGTTTGAAAGGCATTTATCGTTGTATACTTCGAATTTAGTTGAGTAGTGATGATGGAAAAGCACATCATTCCTGTTACGAATGAAAACAAATGTATCCATTAAATTGAACGTAATTCATTAAATGCAATATAGTGCCGCTAACTTCACGGTATGACATCTCCTTACACGACAGCATTAAAGAAACCAAGTCCCGTATGTGATGCTGATGGAATACAAAAATACGTGAGAATGATGAATTTGGTTCAGCCAATGACACGTCAAACGTTTCTCTTTGTAAAAAAATGGAATATCCTATACATAAATAATTATAATATAATTGTTTTTTTTAAAGAACATCAAACAGAAGCTCGCATGTTTATATATACATCATTCATGTTCACTTTTATCGACATAAAGGTTTTGTTTATTTAGTAAATTAACATTCATTTCACGTTCCAGTTCATGGCTTGTGAAATTAACTATTGAGGAAAATTTAACGTTTAGAAAATAATGTAAATTTTTCCGGTGAAAAATATCCACCAAAATTGTTGTGGGCACGTTTATGAAAAAAAGCATAACGCGTGAAATCTGTTTGCTCCATCAAATCAAATTTAGGAAGTTCATCGTATCAGC